ATTTTCTATTGGATTTGGCGATTCTATCCCCCACATAAACAAGCAGTGACGTCATAGTGAAATAGGGCAATTACAATCACTAATTACACTTTCCACAGGTATTATAGAAACAAGTATTAGGGGAAACAGACGTTAATAGTAATACAAGTATTATTGTTAGTAATAGAATTGCCGTATGTATTTAGTTAGCAATGTTTGAATTGAAATTGTTTTCTTTTTTTTTACTTGAAAGTCGACACATCGGAATTACAATCACTAATTAAACTTTCCATTAACCCTAAAGACTTGATAACAAACACAGTGCTAATTGACCACGAGCTGTCCATTAACAGTACGGAATAGATAACAAACATATTACATATTGCAGTACGGTTGCTATTACACATTGACCCATCTTGTTGACAAAGACGTCGTACACTGAATATATGCCGAACACAGCGCGTTTGACTTCTAAGGGGCAAAGTCCTTCCTTCCTTCTTTGTTTGTTTGTTTGTTTCTTTCTTTCTTTCTCCCTCGTCTTTCGTTATCACCACTACCACTATGTCCATGTTAGATTTGTTGTTGTTGTTGTTGTTGTCGTTGTCGTTGTCGTTGTCGTTTTTCTTCTTCTTCTTCTTCTTCTTCTTCTTCTTCTTCTTCTTCTTCTATTCTTTCTAATGATTCTCGTATATTCTAGGGGGTTCCATGGTGTTTCTATAAAGAATCATTTCAGGCGGGATACGAGGTGACTGGAGATAAGGTTGATACAAGCCTGGGCGAGAGAGTCAACCTAATACGTATGAACTACAAGTCTATATATGGAAAAGATTCTCAGACTGTTACACTTGACATCGAGTACCAGACCAGTGATCGTGTGAGATTCAAGGTAAGATGGACCACAGGATTCCCGGTTTGAGTACATAACTTGTGTCCCAGCCCTCTTCTCCTTGTAAACGTTTTACCTGACCGATGAGTGCGTTAATATGAACAAAATATGCTGCCTAGTCACAGTAGTCATCATAACGCCTGTGACACTTACATTACATTGTAGCGTGACATCGAAAACGTTTCCGTACTATTATGAAAATATGCCTCATAAGATTATGGAAGTGAATTCACCTTTCTCATAAATGGCCGCCAAACTCGGTTAGGACTAGGGACAATTGCATGGAAGCGAGGTCATTAAGACCTCATTAATAAACGAAGTCTACTCAATATACGATCTTTAGTGTCAAAGTCATACACTCTTACTTCAAGAGACGCTTAAGAAAACTCGAATTGGTGAGATGAATGACTTTAAAAAAATATCGTACTGAGTAGACTTTGTTTACTGAGGCCTTTCTGACCTCGCTTTAACTCAATTGTCCCTATTCCCAACCGCGAAAAAAAAAACTTCCAACCGCGTTTGGCGGCCATTTATGAGAAAGGTCTATTCGGTAACGAGATCAATAATCTGCACTTCTCGCTTCCCAAAATTCACTCAACCCTCTCGAAACGCCCGATTGAAATAAGATAATTCTACTTAAAATTTATCCCTTTTTTGTCATTCAGTTTTACGATCCCAACGTCAAAAGGTATGAAGTTCCAGTTGAGATGCCAAAGCCAACGACTAAAGCTGCTGACCGCAAGTACGAGATCAAGTACACGAGAAAAAAACCTTTTGCTATGCAGATCATTCGTAAAGACACTAAAGCCGTATTGTAAGTATTGGGATCCCTGTGCAAAATACGGGTGACGTCTTTTCGGTTCTTAATCTCTTTCAATGGAATCCTGGACGAAACCATATTAAAAGCTGTGCCTTTGCCATTTATTTAGTGTGTCATCCATTTCAATACCATTGGGCCACTCCTTCATTAATACAATTTATTCATTTTTTATTCTGTTTATTATTTATCATAATTTTTTTTTACACACATCCATTTATTTTGATCATAGTCATTCCTTCGTTTGTTTGTTCGTTTGTTCATTCGTTCATTTCTTTCCCTTGTTCGTCCGTTCATTCGTCCGTTAGTTCTTTCATTCCATCTTTTCTTCTTTCGTTCGTTTGTCCCTTCGTTTGTTCGTTTCTTGGTTCGTTCGTTAGTTCGTTGGTTGGTTGGTTTATTCGTACGTTGGTTTGTTGGTTCGGTGGTTCGTTCGTTCGGTTGTTCGGTCGGTCGGTTGGTCGTAATTCGTTCGTACGTTCGTGCGATCGTACGTTCGTGCG